AAGCGGTGGATATATTTTACGGTGTATGAGCGTAAAATGGAACTCGGATGCATCTTGAGATGTAAAAAACAAAGAAATGTAGAATTAGTATCCGGAGTTGTTAGCGACCATGGTATTTCATAGTAAATAAATTACCATTATTATTGATAGGTGACTCTAATAAACTATCACAAATGATGATTTCTCTTAATCGTAATTTACACACTCGCAAATCTACACATCTTTAGGCATCGCTCTACAGCTATGTTGTACAACAATCAAGGGAGAGCCTTGCTTGACCTACAGACAACCGCTGAATATGCAAACAAAAAACACAATGAGATGATATACAATCAAATTTTCCGTAGAATTAGCCAAGACAAATTCGGTCTTACCTCCAACTCGACCAATAAGCACTTGCCTCTAAATCGATGGATCTACGGGCACCGAACGCCAATGTTGCTGGTCCTTTTCAAACCGATTAATTAATTTCTTCAAAAATGTATACCTGGAGGAAATACATGTTTGTGACAATGGGTAGAGGGCAAAAATGAAGGAGAAAAAGTTTTCAGGTGCAGCAGAGGTTGTGCAATGCACATGGAAGCAAGCGACCAGATTAAACCTTGGCAAGCTTGGCTAGTTGACTGTACAGGTATAAAACAATGAAAGTAAGAGTAAGACAGTGAGCATTATGTCTTAGATCTCTTTTCATTCGGGAAAATAACTGTCTTCGCCCCTAAGTCTGCAAGTTCAGTTGTTAGCTGATAAAAGAAGTAGGAAATAATTATTTAGTGCAGTTATCGTATAAGACCGTACAGTTGTTGGCAAAAAAAAATTTGAGGTCAACTGCAGTTATCATAGATCCATCAGCTACGATCTTACAGACCATATAATAATAACCAAATAATATAAAGGCAGCGGCACTATAACAGTTCAAAACAAAAGGAGCACCTAACAGGCATGTAAAAGCGGGTACTAACTCGAGAAGAAGCATAGCGTGTGCACCAGGTGATGCAAGGTATTCCTAAAAAAGGTGATCAATAAATCTAGCTGCGAAAAAATAGAAGAAAATGACAGGCATTAGCAAATCTTTCTAGCAGAAAAGGGAATGGCGAAATCAACAAACGAAAAGCACGGATCTCAAGAGCGGGCATTAGGACTGGTTGCCGCCGCCATCTTTTGTCGTCGGCGACTTGTAGCACATGCAGCTAGGGTTTCTGTAGCACATGAAGAGGCGGAGCAGAGGAAGGAGGCAGCTCGAGGGACAGCTAAGGCGGCGGCCACCCGGGCTGGTCGGCCGCGCATGTGGCCGTGGCCGAGACGACCACCACCACAGGCGCACGCGCTGGCACTGTGGTGCAGCCGGGAGCGCTCGCACCCCAAAGGTTTTGTCCTCCGTGAGAACTGGTGGCTGGGCCACCGGCACGGCGACGCGCGCGGGGAGAGGAGGAGGAGGATCGCGGCCGCTGCGCGCCGCACTGGCCGTGATCGCCAAGCGTCCGGATCGAGAGGGAGAGGGAGAGAGCGCTGGGGAGAGAGAGGGCGACGGGGAGAGAGAGGAGAGCGACGGGAAGAGCCGAGATATTTCCAGATGGGTTGAGAAGGAGAAGCTGGAGTATATATTTGATTGAGTGGATTTGGATGGGAAGCCGGAGCAGGTAAAGAGAAGCTAAGCAAAAGGCAGCTAAGCTAAGGAGAAGCAGGAGGAGCAGCTTCGCACGAAAGCAGATTCAACGATTTTAGGCCGCAGGATGGGAAATCGGACGGCCACAAAATTTCGGGACGACGTGGACGATGGTTCCTTCGGGAAACCACCTCTGGCTTGTATAGGTAAATTATTTTTGTTACAGGTGGCACGTCCGTGTAACGGGTTGGAACGAAACTTGCTCCGTCCGGTGCGTCCAGGAAGTCAAAGTATTATGATTATGATTGCATCCATTTTCTTTCCCCGAACCTATGGGAAGATTGTGTATTTATTTCACGAGGCTTTGTTTGGATGTTATCAGATTCACCTCAATCCACATGTGTTGAAGTGGTTTGATGTGGAATTTAGTTCGTGTCTCATTCCAATCCAACCCAACACATATGGATCAATACGAATCCGACTACATCTAAATAAGGCATAAGGCCATAGAAAAAACGGTGCTATTACATGTTAGTTTCACGGCTTGTGTCATTTTTTTAACATTCACGTCCTTTAAAGTAGATGATTCATCTTGATCATCTCATTAGTTTTTGGTTAGGCACGTACCCCCTTTGTTCCATTAAAAAGGCCATTTCCACCTCCGACAAGTCAAATATTATTAACTTTTTGACCAAATATGTGTATTTTTTAAAATATTTATGGTATATAATTAGTATCATTAGATAGATTGTTCAATATATTTTTATAATAAACTAATTTAAAGATACAAATATTGCTAATATTTTCTATAAGTCTAGTTAAACTTGAGAAAATTTGACCGACACGAATCAAATAGCGACTTTTTTTATGAGACGCATGGAGTATGCATGAATGTACATCAACCCAGGGTTCAAAATTTTGGTGGAATTTCGATACTTTCAGGGTGACTGAAAGAAAATTTTGAAATTTGTATTACATTAATACATGTGCTATATAAATCTAGACTCATATTTTTCTATTGTTCATGTTGCATCTTCTTCTACTCAATACATGTGTAGTCATAAATCATGCTAATATTTTGTCTAGATCTAAATTTATTTAGAAAAAAATCATACTTCATTTATGATTTTCTTTAAAAATCATACTTCATTTGTAGGTGTAAAAAAATTCTTCGAAATTTAAGGCGAATTTCGATAATTTTGGAGGTGACAAAAAATTATTATCAAAATAGAAAATCCTGCGTTAACCACAATTAACCACACCAAAATGCCTAGAGGAAGAGGCCAGGCAGCATATGCTCTATTTGGATGGTAGCCATGTTAAATCTATCAACAAACAATCCCTTAACCATGTCTAACAAAACACGTAGGACTAGCATCAAATTAAAATTGATTTAGGGTACATTTGAATAGAAGCAATGTTTTGGTTTCTCTTGTGAGAATCGAGAGAAATGTCAGGAGGCTGATTTTGCACAGATTCACATCTCATTGCTTCCCACTTCTCTTTGTTCTTTTTTAGTTAATCCTTTTTTAGTGTAACAAGTTAAAATGAGTTATATTTAATTAAGTTGCTCTCCCGTCCAAAAAAGCTTAGAACTTTTTAAGCATATTTTTAGTTATAGGATTTTTTTTTGAAAAAAAACATTCCACTTAATATTTAACAAAATTGCTATAAGAAAAATAGGTTGAAACTAAAAGTGTGCCCATACACAGAATCTGGTGGAGCCATGGATGGGGTGTTGCCACCTCAGCAGGGCAAAGCCGTCAAGTTTGAACCTGAATCCCCTCATAAGTAGGGATGAAAACGGATCGGATACGAACGGATATCACTGATATTATATTTGTTTTCACATTTCTAGTCGGATTCGGATTCAAATACGGATAGTATCAGCCATGCCGGATAGAATACGATTAGATGTCGACATCATAAATATGTGATTTGAGTATTCGGATACGGATACGGTATCGGATGTTGAATATCCGAACTCGGATACGGACAGATCTGAACCTCTCTAAACGGATTCAGACTCGAATACAGTCGGAAAATATCCATACCGTTTTCATCCCTACTCATAAGCAAAGTAAAAATTTGCTCTTAAGTATTCGCTCTCATATGCTACGCACCGTTGGATGTGCACTGAGACGTGTACATTCAACGACGCATAACAAGATCGAGAGCATGCGTTCTCAAAGCTAAAAAATTTCCTCGTATTCAGGTTTGAGCTGATGACGCAGGGACACGTGGGTGCTGCAGATCATCGAGCTGGAGAAGGCACACACTGCTTGGTCCATGTAGATCGATCGATGCTGTGCTAGCTAATCATGCAATGCATACACACGTGGCATGGCGTTTTCCTGCATCTCGCATTATCTGTGTACTGTATGAGTCGGAATGGATCCATATATAGGAGTATATATACTTTTTTTACTGTGCCGCATTGCATTATAGACAGGAGGTGGAGTATCGTGCTTAGAAGAAGTTGATCTGATGACACTGATGATGGAGACGGCTAGGCTAGACAGCGAAGGAAGGCGATCGATCATGTATACAGTACACGTGTCAGCATGCATGCATGCCTTGTGTCCAACTAGCTAGCGATCGAGAATCGCCCGCATATATATGGGTTCCACACTCATACAGGTGGACAATAATTCGATACCATCTCTTCGTACTAATTAATATACTCCTTTTGTGGAATATATGATGGATGAATTTATTTATTATATTAATCAACCAATCAATCGATAATTCGATATTAATTGATGCCAAAGACACGGCAACAAGTTCAGTTCTAGTATTTCCTTTCATCTGTCCCGACCGTTTGCTCCTCGCTTTCCTTCCTTCGTAGCTGCTGCTGCTGCTGCCAGAATCCTCCAACAACGTACATAACTCCAGTTCATCGTCGTCAGTCCATCTCAGCTCTAATAATCATCCATCATCAGGGTTCGTTCCCTCCGATCCGTAGGTGAGTCGTCTGCTAGCCGGACAGATATATCGATGCATGCATGCGTGCCAGTTTGTTTTAAAATCTGTTGAGAAACCCATCGATTTGTTGGATTGGATGCAGCATGCATCAGTATACATAATCGATTTCAATTCATCACAAGTAAGCTAAGGATTTCTTGGAGGGGATCGGAGGGGCACACAACAACAAAACTGCATGCTGCCGTTCTTTGGAGCTCCATTATTACCATGATTCTGCTGCACACAAGGTACTGCCCCCGACCCAGTACTCTCTTAGCTTGTGCAAATTCATGCAGCAGATCAGAGTTGTTGCCTCCCTGCGTGCACTCACAGGGATGAGGACGATGCCCATGCCCTTGCCCTTGGTGGTGCTAATCCAAACCATCTGCTGCATGCCTGCCCATCTGGAGACGATGGGGCTCACAATAATCACATGCCCAACGTCGTCGTCGTTACCACCGAATCGGACGACGACGACGACGCCGCCATCTGGATACCGCCTGATGAGGCAGCTGCTGCAGACAGCATGGAATTGGAAGATGATGAGCCCACCTGTTACGATGCCCGAGCCGGAGGTAGTACATCCTACTGCACAGATGAGGATGACGGATCCGATGATGACGATGATGCTACCACCAGCAGCAGTATCAGGTGGTGCCATGCTGATCAGTTCTCCACCAACGCCGCCCTTGCTGCCGACAGGGAGGAACGGCAGAAAGCCATGCTGAGAGCCATGAACGGGCAGCTCAGGATGCTCGCCGCTCGCTTTCTAGAGTCGGCTGGCATTGGCATTGACACCACCAGCAACAGCAACAGCTGCTGCTGGCTTGACATCGTCACCTCCCTCTCCTGGGAAGCTGCCCTTGTGATCAAGCCTGATGTTGGCACTGCTGTAGGCAACCAAATGGACCCTTCCTCTTACATCAAGGTCAAGTGCCTAGCATCTGGTACACCCCGCCAATGGTACGTATGTATATAATACGCTAATTATATCTATTATTATTATTATTAAACACCACATGTCAAGAATATATATAATGTGCATGCATGTCTTGTCTTCCACTGCATCTGCATGCAGTGAGGTCGTCAAGGGCTTAGTCTTCAGGAAGAATGTGGCTCATAAGCACATGCCCAGCAAATGTCGCAATCCCAGGCTGCTGCTGCTTAGTGGAGTCCTCGGCCATTCCCATGTTGGCTTCTCATCATTCAGTTCCATAGAGCAGGAGAAAGACCATCTAGACAAGTCTGTCTGCAAAATGATGGAGATTTGCCGCCCAGATGTCATCATGGTCGAGAAAACGGTTTCACGCGACATACAGGAGCTTCTTCTCAAGGAAGGTGTCACTCTAGTGCTTGACATGAAGCTCAACCGGCTGCAGAGGATTGCTCGCTGTTCTGGCGCTCCCATACTCTCGTTTTCAGAGGTTCTCAGCAAGCCAAAGTTGAAGCAGTGTGACTACTTCCACATTGAAAAAGTGACGGAGGAGCACAACCTTACCTGCAGCACTGGAGTTGGAAAGAGGCCATCTAAAACATTAATGTTCCTGGAAGGCTTTCACAAGCCATTGGGATGCACGGTAGGGTCTGCTACTTCCTTTCTAATTAATCATACTAAGATTCATGCACGATCATACCTTTCACAGCCCACCACTGATGCTGCATTATACTAAGATAAGACAAGATCCATGCACGAGCATGGGCATACCTTTCTAAATCTCTGCTTTATGTATATGTTCACAGCAGAATATATATCTGCCTTAACAGCAGGATGCGTTTTTCTTCTTTATAATTTGACACGCTTTGTTTCCTTTTAAAATAAAGCACTGTCATGCATGATTCTGGCCTAGCAAACATGCATATAGATTAAGACTAATTGATGAACCACTATCTCTATACTACAATGAGATACTAGTAGTGATGACGTAGCTGCATCAAGAAGTATGAAAGTATATAGATAGAATAGATGTCTTCTTCCCTTCTTTGTGCTGACAACATCAAGTGCTAATTTCGTGCAATTATTATAAATCATTAGTAAATTAACAGCTTACTGTGAACGATAGGTAATGGTGATTCCTTTCGTCCTGCAGATATTGCTTAGGGGAGCAAATACTGAAGAACTGAAGAAAATCAAGCAAGTCATGAACTACACAGTGTTTGCAGCATACCGCCTCGTTCTTGAGACGTCCTTCTTCGAAGATCAGAAACTAATCTTGAACAATAAGAATTCTTCCAAAGAAGAAGTTTCTGTCACTAGGAGGGCGGGACCATCGTCACTAGGATCAGTACAGGAATCTACTGATGGGGTGCCAGTTACCATTTCTTCTACATATTTCAATGCTCTAAATTCACTCGAGAAGAACTTCCCTAATCAAGCACTCCCTTCTGAAGGACTAGTATCAGCAGTCCCAGAATCACCGAGAAGATTCATTGATATATTCCGTTATCATAATATTTATTTACCGGTCACTGCTTCTCAAGAGGCAACTGATGATCAGATAGAAGACAGGCCTCAATACAATGAAGGCATGGCAAGTAACGGTATCCATATCAGCCCAAACGTTGGAGTACCAACTGGTTCTGGTGAGAATGTGGATCATTTAAGCGACCCCCAGGAACAAGAATCCTCTGAAACCAATCAACAAATGACATTGGATGGCCCTTCGGTTAGTGAAAAACAAGAGCAGTCATTGGAAAATATTAAACACAGCACCAGTTACAATAACGGAGACAAGACATCTGATATAGATGAGGTGGATGATGTCTTGGAGTCTCAGAGCATACTTATTTTGCTGTCCAGCCAGTGTATCACAAAGCAGGTTATCTGCGAGCAGAGCCGTCTATCCCGTATAAGATACTACGGAAATTTTGATGTTTCCTTAGGACGCTATTTGCAAGACATTTTGCAGAAGCAGGTAACATTGTTATCATTCTAGGTTATGTTTACCGATCTACTTCTGTCAGCTGAATATGAATTCGATACCTCCAAGCAAATGAATTCGATACCTCCAAGCAAACGACTTCTTGCTTCCATTCTTTTTGGCTGATACAGAACCTTTCCCAACTCGATTTGAAGAATATGCTCACGACTCATGATTGTGTCTTTTTCACAGAATCTCAGCTGTTCCTCATGTGGAGAGCCTCCAGAGGCTCACATGTATTCCTACACTCACCGCAACGGGAATCTGACTGTTCTTGTGAAGTGCTTGCTGCCTAAATATTGTTTACCTGGTGAATCAGAAGGAAAGATTTGGATGTGGACTAGATGTCTAAGATGTGAACATGAAAATGGGAACTCCACATCATCACGAAGGGTGATAATGTCAACTGAAACACACTACCTTTCATTTGGGAAGTTCCTTGAACTCAGTTTTCAAGCCACTCAACTGCTAGAAGGCTGTCAATATGCGGGCATTCACTCAATAGGGATTGTCTGCGCTTTTTGGGTAAGCCTAAGAGTCAAGAACCTTAGAACATCAGCTGCATATGATTTCATAAATTATTTTTCTTCCATTGTATATTGGACTGAACCTTTTCTATTCATTTATTTGGGATCTGTGAACTTCAGGTTGGGCTCCAAAGTTGCAATGTTCCAGTATTCCTCAGTCGAAATTTACAATGCCTGCAAACCACAGCCTACTCTTGAGTTTCATAATCCCAATATGCATGAGTGGTACGGGCAAGAGGTAAGAAATGTATGTATCGTTCTCAATTGTTGGTTCCGTCTCATGCTTCTTTTTGTGAAAATCCATAGTGGAACCTAATGCCTCTGCTGCACTTCTATAAGGTTCTTGCTACAGGAGTTACACTTTTCTCTGAAGTCACAAGCGTACTACAGAAGCTGAAGGATCAGTTTCCTGAGCTAGCAATCTATCGTGGTGCCTTCTTTCCTGTTAAAAACTTTTCCCAACTTGAAGAGATGTTGATTAAAGAGAAGGCTGAGTTCATGGTAAAACTTCCCGTCCTCTTTTAGATGAACCTTCCATCGGTCACACAATTGATTTACTCTGCATTTCTGGTAATCATTATTTCACGGCTTATCTTTATCATCCAGGATTCTCTAGCAAAGGCTGTTGATCGAAATAGGGAATCAAGCTCTGTGGATGATATCCTTAATGTAAATTGGCTCTATCAGGATCTTCTGCTGGAACTTTATGTGTGGGACCGCCGCCTGCATCAATTTGTAGACTGTACATCTGCTGAAAATGCAATAGTGGGAAATGGCATCACGGAAACCTCTGAATTTACATGTGACCAAACTGCCGTAGTTGTTGAAGCAGGTGGGATCGGTGAGCGCATGAGCAGCAAAGCATCATTTGCGAATAGATGTATCGAGCCAGAGAAGTTCAGTGAACCAGGGACGTACAGACATGCATCAACCTTGCTTGATGATGCATGGAATAAGCATTACAATGATCAGCATAGCACAAAAGTGCCATCTTCCGGGGCCTCAAATTGCTTGGGTGTTCAGAGCAATATTCCGCAACGGTGTGACGGGGAAAAATGTGTTTGGAACCCACTGAATGAGTCCAGATTGGCTTACAGGCAGGAAGTGGAAGTTGGATGTTTGGAAAGGTTTCAAGTCGTCAACCACTATCGTCCAACTCATTTATCCCCCTTGCACAAACACAGACAATCTGCCGAGGAGATGGGCTCTCCACAGTTCACAGTCGGTCCAGGTGGCAGTATCTTGTGTGTATCAGAGGATGAGATATCCAGTATAATATCCCGAGCTCTTGCTATATCTGAGGATCGTCGCCACTTAATGATGGATGCTATTGCTGAGACTGAACCAGCAGATATCAGGGGTAGAGAGTATGCTAAAACAATGGAGAAGTATTACAGCTCCGTATCTGAAAGTTCCTCTGCTTCTTTGTCCTGGTCGTCATCTTTTGGATCTTCAGATTCTGAGGCAAGCATTTCATCTGACGACCTCTTCAGCTATGATAGCTCACTTCTATCAACCTCTCTCCATCCAGAAATATCTGTCAACGGGAGAATAGTTCTCAAAGGGAAGTACTCAGTCATCTGTGTACACTTTAACCAGTTCTACAACCTCCGAAGGAAATGCTGCCCCTCAGAGCTTGCATATATTACTTCCTTGAGCCGTTGCAAGAAGTGGGATGCTCAAGGCGGAAAGAGCAAGGCATTCTTTGCAAAAACAATGGATCACAGGCTCATCATAAAGCAAATAAAGAAGGCAGAGTTTGAGTCCTTCATAAAATTTGCGCCTGATTACTTCAAGCATGTTAACCATTCTCTGGACACGGGGAGCCAAACTTGCCTTGCCAAAATCTTAGGAATCTATCAGGTAGTTATCTCAAATAGTTATCGCAGGACTCCCTTCTTCCCACTGCTGTCTTTCTTTATTAAACCGTGAGCATCCTGTTCTGTTTCAGGTCAAGCAAATAAGACATGGCAAGGAGATTAAGATGGATCTGATGGTGATGGAAAACATCCTGTTTGGACACAATGTGTCACGGACATATGATCTGAAAGGCGCCATATTTTCGCGATATGTCTCCGATTCAAATGACCATGGCACCGTCTACTTGGACCAAAACTTTGTGGATGACATGCGTGTTTCTCCAATCTATATTGGTGGAAGAGCAAAGCATCTCTTGGAGCGGGCAATCTGGAATGATACGTCTTTTTTCTCACGGTATGTATGACTTCCATTTGTGCTGCCATATCATAATTCATAGATAGATGGAATTGAAGACGTGCTAACAAAAATACCTGTGCTAGCAGTCGATCAATGTTATGGACTACTCTTTGCTGGTTGGAGTGGACAGGCAGAAGCATGAGCTCGTATTCGGCATCATCGACTACCTGAGGCAGTATACATGGGACAAGCAGCTGGAGACAATGGTGAAAGTGTCTCTGGTGGTGCCCAAGAATGAATCGCCAACGGTGATTTCCCCCAGGGATTACAAGAAGAGGTTCAGGAAGTTCATGAGCAAGCACTTCCTGACAGTTCCAGATGACTGGAGCACAGAGAATCCGCCGTCGGTGGATTGCAAGTCCTGTGCTCACGGTGGCAACACCACCAAGTTGTCGGGAGTGGTCGATGAGAAGCCTCAGCATCCAAGCCCAATCCTGGCGTGCGCTTAATTCTCTTCACATCAAAAAACAATTTCTTCTGGCTCATTCTTGAAGGTTGTAAATACATAGCAGAAGAAGCTGTCAAAGTTTTCAGCTTATAGATTATAGGCAAAAATTGTTGGAGCCACAATGTGCTGAGGTCAACGACCACAATGCATGCCTATCTGTTTGTTTATCTGTTATAGTGCCATGCTAAGAGTGCCGGACCGGGCAACATTGACTCTAGGCGCCTGGCCTTATTCCTTGCATGACAGCATATCGTTCGCAGCCATGGCAACGTTGCACACAACTTTGGAAAATGCTGTAGCATCTGGCACGCCAACAGAGCACGCTGCAGCAGCTTTCGAGCAGAGCACATGATAAATTCCCAGGTCAGCAGTCAAATATGTAGGATAAGCATAGACACCACATCAAATCAACCTTCCTAATAACGAATTGAATTCTGATACCGGAGATTAATATCACAATTGGAAGGAGGAAATGATGATATAAGAAGTTCCAATTTACTAGTCTCTGACCAACCTCACCACACACCCACGAGTACATATATAATTCTCTCTTCAAGAAGTGAAGAAACTACTGCAAGCCCTAGCTTATGCAGCCTTGAACCCAGCACTATATCACCACTGTCAGTCTTCTCTGGGCATACCATCTGTTTGTATTGTACTTCTTCCACTGCAGAAATGCCAACTTGCTAAACCTTTTCTTGCTTGTCGTCCACAAGGGGAAGCATCTCCATCTGATTTCTTGAAAGGTTCGCATGCGCTGTTCCTGGACTCCCTGGGGCTGCAGCCTGCCGTTGCGAGATCAGATGCCTCACGTAGCCATAGAAAGTGCAACCAACCAGGGTGATTCCACATCCAATTGCATTCATCGCAGAGATTGGATTCCGGAAGATCAACCATGACACTAACACTGCCACCGCGACCTACAGAAGCATGTCCATTAAGATGTCAATGTCGAGCAGAGGGAGTAGGGAGAAGAACATGGCCCAGAATATAGTCAGGACTTACTTTGAGGTTGCCAGCAACATTGAAAGTCACTGCTGTTGTTGAATGGATGACGTAGAAGATGGAGAAGTTAAGGCAAAACGCAAGCACCCCTGAACCTAGGATGATAATCAGCGCAGAAACGATTGAATCATGTGTGTAGAACCAGTTGATTACACCGCCTCCTTCAAGCAACATTGCTGGTAGAGCCAGTATCATGGTGGCAAAGGGTGCCATGTAGTACACCGTGTTAATGCTGCAGAAAATAGAATAAGCCATTTTACTAATTAATTAGCAGTTCCAACCTCCATTCAGCAGGAAAAATGGTCTCGAAGAACAGATTAATTTCGGAAGATGAAATGTTTTGAACACCGTTATTGGCAGAGCACGCAGCTTCTAAGAAAGCACCAGTGCACCAATAGCATAAGACAAGCGTGTACCTGTCAAATTTGTATCCATGGAGCAGGGACTCTGCCAAGATGGTCTTTGTAGATGTAGCCAGGCAGCCAACCATGGCAGCACAAAAACCAAAAATGTTGAAGCTAAGCTCTGTCACCGAAGTCAGGAGTATTCCCCCGACTATGGGGACCAGCGATGCCCATATGCGCCACTCAAAGTGCTTATTCCAGACTAGCCACTGCAGAATAACTGCATGGCATGAAACCAGCGTATCATCTTCTCATACCACAGCATGATAACAAGTGGAAGATTGAACAAACAGTGAGGGTAGCATAATCTAGGTACCTGTGGTTGCAGGAGTGAAAGATTTGATCGTCTGCATGAAGGAGACTGGAATGTAGCGCAGGCTCACATTTCCCAGCACAATGTTTATGCAGAAGACAAACGACATTGGGAATATCCGTTTCCAGCGGTCCTCCGGTTCAACTTCAATCAGCGGTTTCGCCTTAAGCACATGGATTGCGATGTAGGCTCCGATTGAAGAGCAGATGAAGTGGACACAGGACACGGTGAGAGGAAACTTGAAATCCAGTTTCTGCAGAGAAAAGCATCTTATATCAAGGGCACGGCATTTGATAGACAGTTGGCTTGCACAGTGAATGGGCTGCATTTTGGTGTACTCCGTAGGCAGTATGGAAGAAAGGGAGAAAGTCATTTCAATATACCTCCTATTACATGTCTATCATTACCCAATTACCCAAACATACAAAAGAAGATTGTTGAATGCATACGAGCAGCAACTTGACTAGACAGTAAATCGAGATAAAATACGGTGTGTCTAGGCTGCTGAACCCTGCATGACTAAGGGGGTGTTTGGTTCTTTAGTCGCTCCTAAAATTTATGTCACATCAAATGTTTAGAGGTTAATAAGGAGTATTAAATATAAATTAATTATAAAACCAATTACATGGAGGCTAATTTCCGAGACGAATTTTTTAAGCATAACTAATCTATCATTAGCACATGTTTACTGTAGCACCACGTTGTCAAAACATGGACTAATTAGGCTTAAAAGATCCGTCTCGCAAATTAGTCGCAAGTTGTGCAATTAGTTTTGTAATTAGTCTATATTTAATACTCCATGTGTCCAAACATTCGATGTGACAGGAATTTTAGGAGGAGGGGAAGTAACAAACAGGCCCTAGACACCAAAGTAATAAACTAGTACGTACTAATAATCCAAGCCCCAATGGCCAAGTCCATTTGACCCTGTCTGTTTCCCACCCAAACTAAACTGGGAGAGGGCGGGGAACCGCAAATAATGAAATGGTAAGCTGTATGGACGAATTCAGTTAGATATTGGAAAGGAGAAGAGTCGTTCTCCTACAAGGCTACAACTAGAATGGGCAGCAGGGCAGTAGAAGCATCTGGCATCCAGATCCGCGGCGGAGATTGGAAGATAGATGGGGGAGCTAGAACTAGAATAGAATGCGGATGGAAAGGAGGAAACCTGGAAGATCCACTTGTTCATGATGATGACGGTGACGTTGAAGCCCCACCACTGGAGGATGGCGAGCACCGCGCGCAGGGTGCCCAGGCTGGCCGGCGCCTTGCCTCCGTCCTCCATCTCTTCCACAACTAGTGTATTGTGGACGAGAAAGACGAGATGGCGGGGATGGAGCAAGCTGCTCGTCGGCGTCGGCCACGGCCCGGAGAGTAGACCTCACCTCGCCTCGCCTCACCTCATCGTCATGGTGGGTCGGTGGGAGGAGAGGAGGAATGGGGCGGGCGGGGAACTCAAGTGGGGAAGGAAGGGAGGAAGGGGAAGGCAGCAGCCAGGCCACGCCAGGTCTAGTCTAGTCACTAGTCAGTGTAGTCAGGCAGGCGGGCCATACAATTCGGTCGGTTCTTTTTTCAGTCGTATTTTTTTCTCATAATAATTTAGTTAAAATAATATTTTTCGTCAGTTTCAGCTAAGTTTTAATCAGCTAAAGGGAGAGATTGGAATTTTGGACAATTGCTAGGACCAGCCAACCGCAAACATTTTTTTCTACCCTCTTCTTTGGTTTGTTTTTTGTTTGGTTAGCCCCGTTGCTTTGCTACTGGAATTGCCGCCTAGCCATGTTTATTTCCCATTTTGACCAAAATTTTTGACGTTTTATCCTATCGTTTGGCAAAATAAATCTAAACACCATAGACAAAAATAGTAAAACTTGGGCTATAAAACTTTTAGCATTTGGGACCTAAGAGGGCCAAAACTGGGCAAAAAAATGTCCTAGGGGCACATGCTGTGTCTGCATGACTAAATTTTTGCCATACATCTAAACATCAAATACCAAAAGTGTGAATGGTAAAAATTTTATAGCAAAACATTAGAGACAAAAGTTTTGCCATTCCAAAAGTATCTAAACACGCCCTAATGTAAGAACATCTTTCATGAGTGTTTTCTTTTTCTTCTTTATAATGACCCACGTACTCCCTCCATCTTTTTTAACGTAAATTTCCGTTTTTTTATGAATCAATTAATCTTAAGTTTAATTGATATAGATAGATAGATACATGACTAATTACATTTATGGATCATTAGATTAATTATAAAATATATATTTATCGATACAAAAATTATTCTTGCAATTTGAATAAGTTTTCTCAAAATTTTATTTAAAAAACTTTCTCCAATTCTTTTGGATAAACAATTTCAAAAAGGGTTTTAAAACATTTATGCATAACAAAAAAATCAGCTTAAACTTATCAGAACAATATTTTTCTCTCACAATAAATCAGCTTTAGTTTGCTTGCCACAAACCAATCAGCCGAAACCATCAATCGAACGGGGCTTTCAATGCAGTCAGGGGACTGGGAACACGGAATAAAAGTTTCTGCCATCATACATTTTCTAGTAGAGAAGCACCCACATGTATGTAACAGAAGTTGGCAGAGACCAGAGATCACGCACGCCTGCGCATGGACTGCATGTCTTGCAATGTGACCAGTTACAATCGCTTGCTGTGCTTTTCAGTAACCCACTCTGATTGTAACCAACAAAGATAGTAACAGCAAGCGCGCACACTCAAATCTCCAAATTAATTTTACACACGTTTCAAATGCAACTCAACAAGGACCTCCCTCCCTTTTCAAATCAAATGCACATGCACCCCTCCTAGGTTGCCTATATCTCGTCATCGTCTTCAAATGGGTCTCTCTCCGGGAAGTCGCCAACCTGCGAAAAAGAAAATGAGAAGAAAAGAAAACTGTTGAGGAACATTTTAACTTCTGTGAAAAAAATATCATTTTTTTATTGAACTCGCAAGAGAACTGCATATCTTTGTATTAATAAGAGAGAAGGAGAAAAAAATCCCATACAAGGCAACCTCTTACCTCAGCTAGGAGATTATGTTGCACCCCAGAAATCACCTGTTATACTATTACAACGACCCAAACAGAGCAAAGGCTCGGCCCCAGTTAACTTTTTCATCCTTATTACTAATAGGCAACCCAGCTCGAAAAGGTTATGTCACAAAGAAACATGCTCTCACAATTGTTTCTTTAGAAAAACTCAAGACCTTACAATGCAAACACACACTCATGTCACATGACTAGGCGCCTCTAAATTTCAGCAATCAGCTGCAGAGATAACGTCTAACCAAAACTCGCTCCAAAGTACACACAAGGTAAAGAGCTAGGAATCTAGCAACGAAAATACCTTTACTTTCTCTGGCCTCACAATTGCCCCATGACCTTGAGGGCACTCAAAGAAGCGAATGCCTTTCACCCTGCAGTATCCAAGAAGCACAAGGAAATGTTATAAAGAGCTACTGCCATTTATTAATGATAATAGCAGGTTACCCATCACAAAATCAAGGAATATGACATTAGCAGCAATTAGCATTATACATAACAAAAATGGCTAATCACACAATCAACACAAAAGCCTATCATTTTCTATTTTTCATAGTTTAGGACTGAACATACATGCCATCATGCTTTCCCAGTGGCTCATCATATTGCACTCCAACCCAGAATCCACGTCCAAGTGCTTCAGCTCTACCAACAAATTTTACAGTGCCCTCTTGGCACCAGGCTCGACTTCACATCTATCTCCCACCTGTGACACACTTGTTAGATCACCTGCTGCAGTTGGCAACCATGGTCCATGAAGAGTACCAGTTTAAAATTAATCCTAAGGATGTTCACATATTCCTTGGGGAAAAAAAGGTTCAGTGGGAAGAGGAAAGTGACATTCAGGCAATGAAAGAGGTTAGCATGCTGATTTGGTAATAAGTATATTGTTAGCCCAAATTAGACTATTTGCAATTATAGCAAGGATGGTAATTGGTACATATATATCGTGATTGTGCCAGCAATTAAAGATGGAATTGAAATGAGGCTCTGGAGACTGGCAGGGTGTGTCTTTGGGTGCTAAATCATCAGCACTAAAAATCTGACAATGATTTTGGACAATTTGCCAGTCTTAGTGCAACTAAATTGAAGCACATGGGAAGAACCAAAGTGACTGACCTTGATCTTGGAGCATAGTTCCTCCATATGCTTTTCTGATTGCTGAAAGAAATAGAATAAGTGAGATGAAAAATGAAAGAAGACAGTCCAAAACTTTAGTAACTTACTTCTTTATCCTCTGACGGAGAGTTTTTCGGGACCATCTTTTCTTTGAATTTTCGAAAGTTAGCTGTCACCAAAATCATAAAATTAGCATTGGGCCTAATGCACTGCAAGTTGCAAACAGATATATCCAAAAGCATATATTGACTTTGGGGAAAAAAAAGACTACCTTTGGGACTTAAAGGCTTTGTTGTTGTTGTTGTTGTTGTTGTTGTTGTTGGAAAAAAAAGAATGAAACAGCCGGGGAACTCAAACTTACTGTCGAGCTTATCGTATGCTTCATCGGACATTTTGTACTTGTCGACAAGGGAAGTGTCTTCCAACCAGCCACCCGAGGTGAGTGAGGAAGGATCGAGATCAACAACATGGATCCGGTAGCCGTTGTAGGGGGCGTAGGCCGCGAGGGGCGCAGCGTCGTCATCGAGGTCGGCGATCTTGGCGCCGGTGTCGTCGCGGAGCTGGAGACGCATGGAGGCGACGGCGGTGCCGGTCTTGCGCCAGAGCTTGTCCTTGAGCGCCTCGACGGTGGTCTGCGATCCGATGCATTAGCAGAGCAGAGACGATGGAGATCCCGATCCCGGCAAGATGAGAGCCACACCCACCTGTTGCGAGACGCGGATGTCCGCAGCGAAGGTGGAGAGATTGGAGTGGGTGACGAGCAGGAGGACGCTGTCGTCAGCCGGCAGCTGCAGCTTGGACGACGCCATGGTTGTCCGGCGGCGGTGCTGCGGCGGTGAGGCAGTGAAGGGGAAGCTCCTCGTCCGTGCGAGTCGCTAGCGCTAGCAGCGTCTGCCCGCCGCCGGTGCTGGGTTGCTGGGGTTGTGGGCTGCTGTCGGTGCTGGCCCATGGGCTGCATTACCACATGCGGAAGTGGCCCAGACCGGCCCATAACGATTTCGTCTTCCAACCCACCACCAGTCCATGTCCACCATGGCGACGGGGACGGCAGGGCGTGAAAGATTTTTTTTTCACTCTCAAGTCTCAACTGCTGACGGTTGAGAGAGAAGGACGAGCGCGCTATCCATCCAGCATCCACTCGTCTTCGTCTTCCAAGCTTTCCGGCTCCCTCCCAGGCAACTAGAAATGGCGGCGGCGGCCGCTCCCGTGCCCCCGGTCTTGTGCAAGCGGGGGCAGCAGCAGCTAGTGCTTGTCCACACCACCAGGCCCCCCCTGCCCCTGCGCCTCATGCGCCGCGCCGTCTCCGTCCGGGTCGCGCCGCCCCGTCAGCAGCAGCAGCAGCAACACCGCGCCCGCCCACGGCCCCCTCCCAGGAATAAGCCCCCCGGACCCGCGCGCCGTCCGCCCAGGGTCCCTCTGGACCAAGATGATTATGAATACGACGACGGCGGTGGCTATGACGACCGGGAGGAGGGGAGGTTCGCTGGGGGCACCCGGGCCGCCGCCATGCCCAAGCCACCGGCCGGCTTCGTGCTGGATGACCAGGGCAGGTGCATCGCCGCAGCATCCAAGCGCATCGTCACCATCGTACGCCTACCCATCCCATTCCTCCTCTTCTTCTTTTTCTTGTCTTTCGTTCTGCACCTTGGTATGGTACTATGGTTGGATTCAGCTAATATTTCTTTCTTTCTTTCATCACAAATGAAATTAAGTACCAGATAACTCAAGCCAAACCAACATTGCGCTCTGCAGATCGACGACACCAGCAACCGCCTCTTGGAGTGCATTATCCGAAGAGTATTCAGGAGCTCGCAGGACCACGACTGCTTGCTTCTCTGCCCCGTTGACATGTAAAGCTCCACGGCCACACTTTCGTACCATTGTCCATTGCCACTCATACTCATGGCAGACTCCAAGTGACACTCTTCCAGGCCTGTGCAGGTTCTCAAGAGCACAAATTTCAGTGGCTGGGTAGCAGTATGTCTTCACCCTCTCTGCCTTATATACATTCCTTCAACAGATTATTCATTTCTTTTTCCATGGTTCCTAATGTAATGGAATAATGCTTTCTTCCTTTCCTATACGTTTGGTGCACAATTTTAACCTGTTTATTTAGGTCGATGACGACCAACTCAAGCAAATCATTCCATCTGTTGCCTATGCCCTTGCCAGAGTACATATGCACTTTGTCGAAAGCGGGTAAGGATCGTGCACACGCCTCAGGATATATCTGTTCATTCCTTTGCTTCTATCGCGATATCTCTGTACAAGCGTCTTTCCTCTCCGTTTCAGATTCTGTTATACAGCAAGGGGTGGCTTCTGCTTTCCAGAAGAGGCCATTCAAGAGTTTCATGGTAACCAAAATCACAGGCATCCTTTATATATATATATATATATATATATCTCTGAGGCCAACATATCTTATCATCTAGTCAAAATATTAAGAAAAGACAAAAAAAAAATCTGTATTTGCGGATGAATATATTTTTTTTAGGCCAACGTACGTAGTCAACATGAAATGTTTTCTAGACAATATCTCAACAATTTCAGAAACTATTTGCTTACTAGTACAATCTACTATTTGCGATATCCTCTTTGGTATCTCATATAAAGATTGCAGATTCTGGTGATGGTGGTGACGGGGTACCTTTTGAAGGTGTAGAGATTTGTTGCTTCAATTTGGTGAGCAAACTGCCTGGATGTAATATTTAAATATGAAATTCTGATTTTGGTCAACTTAGATGTACAGTTGATGTGATTTAGTTAGCTTCGTACTCCCTCCGTACTAAATGTTAGTCGTCACGATTTACGTGTCAATAACTTTGACTCGATTTATAGAAAATACGTGCAACATTTCTATCTCCAAATAAATTTATTAAAAAACTAGATTCAAATATCTATCCAATGATACTAATTATGTATCATAAATATTAATATTTTTTAATATATGTTTAGTCAAAGTTGTTTCTCGGTAAACGAAAACGACAGACATTTAGGGACGGACGGAGTACTTCATAGGATAATTGGCCTATGCAGCATGCTGCTACTGGTACCCAAATTATAAGACATTTTGGCATTTCTAGATTCATAGCATTTGTTATGTATCTAGACATAGCATATACCTAGGTGCATAATAAAAGCTATGAATCTAGAAAAAGCCAAAACGTCTTATATTTGGAATTGAGGGAGTAACTGACAAGTAGTATATCTTGGGTCTTCATTGGCATGCTTGTGATTGCTGACACTTTGTATCTACAGGATGGTGCACACTATATGATTTATACACCAGTTGATCCTCTTCTGTTCGTCGCAGTCAAGGTTAGTTGGTGGTTGTTCAACTTGTGGTGCAATTGGTTGTTGTTCAACTTGTGGTGCAATTTAGTTTGTACATGATGTCTGAGAATGTTGTCACATGTTTGTGCAGGATAAGGATGGTGTGCTACGCATTGCTGAGGATGTAAGCAGTGTTATGATTAGCATTTTCCTTTATCAACCCAGTCTGTATTTAGAGCAGAGGAAATAGCAACCACTTACACGCGCACCGTGAACGTTTTTCAGGATCTGATGGAAGACCCTGCAGTTCTGGATGCGGTGGATGAAGAGACAGAATTTACAGCTCTAGTGGTATGCGGCCTGGTCTTTACCTTATGTATGTAGTTCATAATACTGTTTTGGTTAAGACGAGGTAGATAAGATCTCTTGAACTTGTGTGTGGTGTGCAGGAGGAGGAGGAGACCCTTCTTGAAACAGTACTTGGTGAAAGGTGATGGATGCCAGGGAGCAGGGAGGGGGTTCCTACTTGTATAGGACGAGGATGATGAGACTCTGATTGTAGTCCACTCAGCCAAGAAGTAGAATAGAATGAATGAAGCTGGCGATAGATACTAGTACCCTTTGATTTTGAACAAGGGGTCCATTTGCAATTGTAAGCAGCTGCAACCTGCAAAGTGCGTATTACTTGGAATGGATTAGATGTGCAGCAAAGTGGATAATATTTGAGCTACCTAGCCTAGGGTGGACAATGCAGTTGACCAGTTGATTGTCTGCTGCTGCTGTTAATCTTTGTCTGTGTAAACTAGTGTAGTATAGATAGCTCAATGGGACGATCCAAGTTATTTAAGCTGTGCTGATGTGTTGAATTAATAAATAAAGAAAAAAATACCCCAATCTGATATCTGAATACCTGATGGATGGAGGAAATGAAGCAAAATACCCCCACTGCAACCGATTGGTGTCTTGATTTCTAAGGGGAGGGCCGGAGGGGTGTTTAAGGTCAGGCTTCTACTGTACCATCAGCCTAAGTCTATGGCATATAGGATTAGACCCCCACATGTCATCGACTAGCCTGATGGTATTGATGAAAACTGCATCTTAAGTGGTGGCATGTGCAAATTCCCCTATACATATAGACGACTTGTCAGGCACAGATACATCCATCTCAAGTTCTTGTGAATCTGCCCAAGGATCATTTCCATGGAGGAACAAATATCAGAAATCATAATAGGGCTATGCTTCAAATCACTTCTTATCCCATCCTCTATGGATAAATAAGAAGCAACCCAAGGGGCATGTGCCACAAGGGCAGTGCTACAGCGCCAAACTACATAATACAAACTACCCTATAACTGGAGCTTGACCAACTTCTTCTCTTGTAACATGGTGACTACTCATCCCTCCCCGCCCCAGCGCCAAAAAAAAAAAAAAAAAGGCGACTACTAGTTAAAAAAAAACATGGTGACTACTTATGGGGCTAGTTTTATCTGTTTTAGCATTCAATATTACCCTAGTTTGCTTATCTCAAACAAATGGGGGAAATAATCACACCCAGCGCTGCACATGATTTTCCATCTTTTCTGAATCAAGCATATACATCTTATATAGAACAACTCGGAAAAAAGACAAGCATTATATAGTACACGTGAATATACACAAGGACGCAGTACCTAAAACTGCCGTAGTGAAGCAATCGGGTCTGCTGCAATGACTCATGCTACACTATATGCTCATGAGGAGCGTGCGCTGCGTGTCCGTGAAGCCCAAACACCAAACACAAGGAACCAGGACACAAACAAGATTGCCCAATATTGCATAGACCCATACTGGATTCTCGGGAAAACCTGCAATGAGAAAGGATCATTTAGCATTCAGGCAATGGTAAAAGACCATCGCTTTCGAAACAAACACTTAGTCAAAGGTAAAAAATCTGGCTAAAAGGAAATGAAATATATCATGAAAGATCACCGTCTACTTACAAATCTCAGGGATATTACTACAGCCAATGCGCATAAACCTCCAAGAAGCATATGAAGACAGATTACAGCAGCTTTCTGCACAGAAACCCAAAAACAAAATCATACTTCACATCAAATGCTTCATCCATAGGGGAACCTTTCTTTTACATCGACCTAGCTCATTAGTTTTGTTTTCCTCAAGAGAGAAAGAATTCGTTGCTAATTAGCTGAAAATTATATATATACAAAAAACCAGATTTATAAAAGGCAAGAAATAACTATGCATATGAGCACCCTCAATATGGTCCAAGAACGACCAGAGGCTACAAAGGGATAGCTGCATCTAAACTTTCTAATTCAGGCTCACAGTTACTTCTATGGATCAGATGACTGTTATTATCTAACAAACTTCAAATTGCATAACTTAAAATAACACTAATAGTTACTAAACTACAGTTCCTCAAGGGTAAAAAAGAAAACCACATGATCAGTAACTTATACAAGTATGTTTCAGCAGATAACAGTGTCCTTCAGTCAATAATACTTAACACGTGCAGCACCTTCACCAGATGGAAAACCTGCTCTACGCATCTATAAAATTCTTTCTCCTTTTTTTTTTCATATGGCGGATCTAATTCTTTCTCCTTTTTTTCAGGGTTGTGTAGTTATCTTAATGTTTGTCCGCTTTATGATTTGTACAGCTTTGTAAAGGAGAACTGCCGAGCAATTCTCTTTTAACAGTTATAATAAGAAGGGGTATGCAGTTGAGTTCAGAAGTTGCAATTTTCACACGAGGATGTGTAAATAAGAAGAGAACCTTTTTCAGCGAAACATACCTTGCCAACATGTGGAGCAACCAACCATGCAAGAATAATGACAACTAGGCAGGTAGCAACAAAAACTCCAGTGCTCTCCAAACTCCACCTTGTATGTACCCGTGTCGCCGCCACAACACTATGCTCCAGAACAGAATTATTGGTTGGACTAAGTGGCAGCTGAGGTTGATCAATATGGCCTTGGGCAACAGCCACGTGAGAGTTGTGAGGATTGAACCAAGATGAGATCTCGCTAAGCCGCTGCCTTCGTATCGCCGCGACGGCGTCTGGATCAACACCAGTATCTGCCCCATGCTGCAAGTATGAGATTTCCCCTGTGGATGTCCTTTCCCTGAGAGCTTCATAATCCTTGAGGGACGCGAGAACCTTGTTGAAATCCTGAGGCCTTACATTTGCAGCAACAGTTCCACATATCTCGCACGTGGTGGATCCATGGCTGATGAACCACTTCAACGCACAGGCATAATGCGCAAGGGCAAGGTCGTTCTTGCAAGAACACCCTAGATCCACAAGATGGTCATGCTGGTGCAGGGGGCCTGATTCGACGTCAGTGGCGCACACGAATATTTCCCCCTCGGGGCTTACGAACTCAACAAATCTGGGAGCACTGATGGCATCATCCTTTGGCCCAGTGATGGCAACCTTGCTGGTGGACGTCGTGGTGGTGGAGTCAGTGTCAGTCCTGGGAGGGGAAGGCGGCGCGATGCCCAAGAATCCGAGGGCGGACTCGCCTCTCAGATCGGGTTCGACGCAATGACAGACCCGGCAAAGTGGAAGGCCAGAATCGTTGTCGGTGCTGCAGCTTGAGACACGGGGATGCCCGGTCCCTGGTGGTGGTCGTCAGAAACAGAAGCGGGTGAGTTGATGGCATCATCAGTTTGGTCGAGCTGCGGACGCTGCTCCTTGAGGCCCATCTTGAACTGGATCAGAAGATCATTACTACTGTATGTTGGGAGGTGGGAGATCACTGGTGTTCCGGTGTGGTCAGTTCTGCTCTAAACAAGTGTGCGTGCATTGCCTGCCTGGCTCCTGTCATGAGCAACGGAATGAGACGAGACTGGTTGCGATAGCAATCCAATGGACTCCAGGAGAGGAGACCGAGGTTGGTAAAAGTGCAGCAGATACGCAGGGCTGAGGCTGGTAATCGAGCAAAGGAAAGTAGTACAGTACCAACCTGGTTAGTTTGATGTGCGTAGGAAATGGTCTGGGTCTGTGCTGCGGCGACCGACTGGAAGCACCGCGCTGCAGCATCAGCATGGTAGAAGACGAAATGGAATGAAGTGAAGCCAGCAGGAGGTGGAAGGAAGGACACGGATGATGAATCGATTTGGGGGATAGTAGCAAACCTTGTGGGGGCGGCGGCGGCGCTGGCGGAAGAAGAGGATATGAAATTGGTGACGGAAATCTCGAGTGTCCACCAGGAGGGAAGCATACGGGGATTTGGATTTGGAGCTGGAACTGCTCTGCTGGATTCGATCGATCTGAGGACTGAGGCCTGAGCGGAGTGGGGCAGCCGGAAGGGGAAACCAACTGAATCAGGCGCGCTGAAAAAGCAAGGAAGCACCCGGTCTTCTCTCTATCTGGTACTCACTCGAGGCCCACTGTCCAGCGGCTGATGCCAGCTGCTTCTGCTCCGTCGTCCTCCGATCGCCAGCCAAGCAGAAGCAGGGCAGAGGCAGCCTCTCTTTTCTATTCTTTTCCTCTCTTTTTTCCTCCTCTCCTCCTCCCAAATAATACATCCATCCCAAATTATAAGACGTTTGATTTTTTTACATCAAATTTAACTTTTTTTTACACCAAGTACCATTTTCCCCCTTACATACTCCGTTAGACTGTTGTGAAATAATAATAGCACTGTATTTTTTTTAAAAAAAATGAATACTACTATATTTTAAAGTAATATAGTTTGGCAAATAAATAGAGGTTGCTAGGATCGATCGTATGTACGAACCATCGTTCTATAAGGTTTATTTTTTCTAAAACTTAAATTTCTTTAGGATTATGGACCTTTTCTTTTTCCAAAGTGAGTAATTTATTGAATTCTTATTTTAATAAACCATTTAGTTCTCCACGAAAGCTTTCATCTCTAGGTTTGCCTCTCTCTTGCATTCAAGTTAGACCTAAGAGCCAAATTAGACCTAAGAGCATCTCCATTAGATTGTGTCGGTACAGAGAGTGATCAACTAGTGAATATTTGTAGTTTTGATGTATGTTGTGATCGGAAGTGGCCTAGCACTCAATGACACAAGATTTAGACTGGTTCGGGCAACGTGCCCTACGTCCAGTGTGGGTCTGTTGGTGACTTTATTTCTGAGCCCAGGTGCTCGAAGTCTGTAGTGGGGTTACAAACGAGAAGGAGAAAGGAGGGGTGTACGAGAGGCCCGGTCGGGTCCGACCGGAAGGGCCGAGGGCGACCGAAACTCCGCTATGAGCTAGGTGTTCGAGCGTGTGCTTGAGGGGTTTCTCAGCTATCGATCTAGTGAGCTGAGCTTGAAGAAGTAGACCTTTGGAGACTCGATCTCCTTTGTTGGAGAGAGCGCATCCCCTTTTATAGATAAAGGGGATGGCTTTACAGGTGAGAGGGAGAGAGTACGGATGTTTCTAAGTCTTGTTGCCCACGCCGAGTGAGGGTAATGATGATGGTTGGCACGCATAACACTGTTGATGTCGCTGTAGAATGTTAGGTGTACATAGGGGGTT